GCATTTAGATTTTTAAAACAAACAAAAAACCTCTAAGCTCCCTAGAAGAAAGAATAAGTTACTTTCAAAGATGCAAAAAATCAATTACTCTTTTGCAGAATTAAACAACAGAAAATAGAGCTATGTTTATTAAATTCAAGGAGTACAATGTTGAATGAGCAGTGATCACTAAGTACAATTAAATAGAAATAAGTGACTTCAAGAACTAAGAAAAAATGTTGTGTTTTTAAAATCTAACAGGTAGCAAAAATCAGGAGAACATAAAATATTAAGGAGACTTCTTCACTAATTATATATATAATTCACTGATTATATATATAATATATAATTATATATATTATATATATTCTCATAATATATATTTATAAATACAGTTATAAATATAATTATATATATGTATATATATATGTGTGTGTATATATATATATATATATATATATATATATATATATATAAAACTGTATGAAAACTGAGAAGTAGGGGAAGTTCACAACTCATCCAGTAACCATCTACTGCAAATGGCAAAAATCATGGATTTAGATTTTAGATTCTGCAACTTCATGTAAAAGAACTGGATTGTGTGTGACATATGTATCTTAGAACCATCACACCAAAAAATCAACTATACTATCTGCATAGTTAAAATTGTAATTATCCTGGAGAGTCAACTTTGCATAAAAAAAATGGATTTTTACCAGAAAGAGCCACCCTGTAAATTTAGGTTCAAATCTATACTCTTACAGGTATTGGCTGACTCAGAAGTCATGTTTCCTGCCTGCCACTAATAACATCACATGTTATTATAATTTTAAATAGAGTTTTTAAGAGACAGAATTGGACAATCAAAGTAATATGAAAGATATCAAAAACAGGATACTAATGGACTTACAAATAAGAAAAATCAGAAATATTAAAACATCAAGAAAAAATAGTTCAAGTAGTTTAGTGACAATAGGGGAGCAGTTTAAAAATGACTCATGAAACTGAGGTAAGTAGTATTTTGCCTGTTTTATAAAAAGGGTATAGAAATTCAGTGGTCAAGTAACTTGTCCCATTATATATAGCTTACAGATAAAAAAAAGTAAGTTTCAAATATAGACCTTCTGGCTCCAAACCCATTATCTACCTAGAGCTTGCAATAGTATGGTAAATCTTAGATTCATAAACTTTTTTTGGAAATGAAAATTTGTACAAACTATTTGAAAACCAGTGTGACATTTTTTGTATCAAAAAGCATAACAATTTTCATTACTTTAGACCCCATAAACTCCTGTATGGGATTCTACCCTGGGGAATTAATCCAATATGTAGAAAACAATACAGATGAAGACATTCATAGCAACATTTTAATTTAAAAAACATTAGTTGGAAGCTACCCAAATGTTCCACAATAGAACACTGGTTAAATATTATTTGGTATACAGACATATGATAGAATATTACTTTGAAAAATGAGAAAATACTTATGTGTAACTCTAATGTTAGAGAATAAAAGTAGGACATAAAATTATAGGTACATAATTATATTAAATATATGTAATGAAAATATAGGAAGAAATACACAGACACATACAAAAGACAATTATCTGAAGTTGATAAAATAGTAGGTTATCTATGCTTCCAGTTTTAGATATTTATATCTTTTTAAACATTTTTAACCTAATTTCAAGTGATCTCATATAGAGTTCAAAGCGTATGCTTTGATGAAATATATCATCCGGATGGAAATTGAATCATGGGGGAAGAAATGAATGAAGAAGTCTCAATTTTAGAAGGTGTGTGTGACTTGTGAATACTGTATTACTTTAATTTAGGAATCATGAAAGAAGCATAATGTTAAACTCCAAATATTTTTGGTTTTGTTTTACCTTTTCTCCCATCCAAAAAAAAAGGTGGGGGGCAAATAATTATCATTTCACTGTGAAAGTAACAACTCTTGTTCTTTTTTTTTTAAAAACATGCTAGAAAGAGAATGTGTGAATTTTTTTTTACATTTCTCTGTAGGTTTTATTTTTTTATTGCTTTTTTTAATTAAAGCTTTTTATTTTAATTCCAGTATAGTTAACATACAGTGTTATATTAGTTTTAGGTGTACGATATAGTGATTCAGCAATTCTATATATCATTACTCAATGCTCATCATAAGTGTACTCTTAATCCCCTTCACATATTTCACCCGTCGCCCCCACCCACCCACCCCTGATATGCTTTATTTTAAATGAGTACCCTCAGTTAAAGTTGGTTTTTTTAACAAGAACATTTTTTACCTGAAGCATACTTCAGAATACACTGTGTAGATTTCAGTTGGAATTTGGTTTTGTTTTTCTTTTCTTTTTCACAAGCAGTTACTTAAGAAACATTTTATCTTTCATTAGGATGTTTAATTTTATGGTGATTAATCAGAACATTAAACATTAAATATTTAGAAGTCAAAATTTATAGTGAAATCTGTATCAAATCTGTATCAACATTTATTGAATTTAATCATACTTGTTTCCCTCAAATACATATATTTAATTAATTTAAATAATCTAACCAATTAAACAAAATTAAAACAGAGAAGTGGGAATCAGAATATCACTGGAAAGGAAAGATATGTGTTTGTTCATCTCATGACATCTCAGCCAATTTTGTAGTTTGAAAATAACTTAGATTTATTCACTTAAAATATTCTCAAAGATGAAGCAAGTTAAGCTCATCATATAAAAGTTAGGATTTTAAAGGATTCCAGCTTAATCAAACAGATATTTGAAATTCAGTCACTCAGCTGTATACCAGTTCAAATCTGTGAAGAGACAGAGATGAGAAATAGGAATTTGATTATCTTTTTAGCCTTTAAAGAAAATAGATAGATATATACAAAGATATATGAGGTTTGTGTAGATGTATCAGATAAGGGTTAGTCTCAAAGAACTAAATTACTCTAAATAGTTTAAGTAAGAAATATTATTGTTGTTAAATGTTTTACAAAATTATCAACTTAAATTAACAGACTTCAGGGTGACCTGAAAGATCAAGAATGACTCTTAAAGTCAAACTATAGAACCAACACAAAGGAAGATGTCTTCTAAGCCACCAGGCCCAGAAGCATACTCCGTTGCTATGTTTAAAGAAGCCACTATCATCAGGATGGTGCCACATTCAGGAAGCTGCTGTGATCTGTAGACCTCCACTGTTGTTGCCAGTTCCAGAATCCCACCATGCAAACTATGATTTGCACCAACAAAATGGATGTCCTGTGCCCTGACTCTCGGCTCTCATAAAGCTAATGGTTAGACAATGAGTCGCTTACTAATGCACCTTTGCGGGCCAGGAGGGAAGGAAAAATAATGACTCCATGAATGTGCTTACCAGCAGAAATGCAGAAGCAGAAGTTCAATCTACATCTCACTTTTACTTTCAAATCTCAGGCATATTCATCTGACTGGCTGAAGCTACAACACATTGAGTCATAACTGCAAAGGAATCTTAGAAATAAGATTTTCAGCTCTCCATCCTCTTCAGTACAGGGAGATAACTGGAATGAGAGTGAAATGGATGTTGAACACTAATGTACCATTTGTCTTTGGTTACTCAACATACATACACTTCCTTTTCCCCACTCAACAACCCTCATAAGCAACAATAAGCAACAACCATGTTCCATACTGAGAGGGTACAAAGATCACTTTTACAAATGAAAATGTACTGACCCTTTCCCTAAGCAGGAAAGTCAAAGAAAGTTCCATCAGTAAATCTGTCCATCTCAGGGTGAAAGTTTATTCTTCCTCTAGTGAACTACAGTAGAGAGTGACCTACCTACAACTCTATATAAAACATCAGAAAAAGGAAGGCGCCCAAGTCATTAGTATGTATACACAAAACTGTACCTGGAAGCACGTATTGCTAGTATAGTCTTCATTTCATAAAGTTGCAGTTACAATTTTTAACTTCCTTCCTCATCTACCCATTTCTTATTCCCTTTGCCTTTAGCCAGCACCTAGGCTGGCAGAGGCCTTTTAATTTGATGTGGTGACTCAAATGTTTTGTTTTGTTTTCCGAGACACAAGAGCCTATAATGACTTCCTCTGGCTATAGCTGGAAATAGCAGTCTTAGGCATGCTCCAGAATATTTCAAATAACAAACAAAAACCCCTCACTGCCTACCCTGTGTAGCAGCAACCTTAGTTGAAAGCCTCTGGAAAATGTGGTGTTTGGCTTCTTAGCCTCTACAGTAGACAAAGCACTTGAAGGAGGATGAAATGGGTGCAGTGATCCACTTCTTTCACCACAGTAATTAATGGGATTACTTTTACCACAGTAAGTAAGTAGAGGAGTAAAAACTACTCTTTTAACCACTTAAATATTGTTACACAAAAACAGTTACTTAAACTCACAAAGGGTTCAAGTTTGATATGACAGCATCACCATGAGCTTATAATCAGGAAAGATCATCTCAATGCATAAATTGTGCTTTGACGGAAAAGTTCCTTTCTGCCTCCCACCCATATCCTAGCAATGTGATAGGTCTACATTTAGACCACTCCCAGGTATCATGAATGTTCTCTGTCACCTCTTCTCTATTAAACCCATACAGCTTATATGACTCTACCTTTGTGTGGAGCCCAGAAGGAAATATTGTTCATGTCTCTTTCTCAAACAATTCATTCAAAGCTCCATGGCTTTGAAAGGTAAAAGTTTCTGATAACATATAAGAGAAGAGCATTTCTTCAATTTCTTTGAATGATTCTTCCTTAACATCAGGATGTGTTTTGGACTCTTTTCCAAGCAACTCATGCTACCAGGCTAGAAGGTAGCAGCACCTTTTGTTGCTCTGTTGAGTACTGCTAAGATGCACACCGATGCAAATCAGGCAGTGACTAAGACTGATTTTGCCTTGTTGGTAGTACCTGTTAATTGGATGATACAAGAGTGATTTCTTAGGGCTTTAGGAAAACTAAACAATCACAAGTATGGAAGAAACTTCAAAATTAATCTGTCATTTAATAATTTGTTGACAGGTTGGTTATCGGAAAGACATGGAACAAGAAGATGCTGCAGAAACAGTCAAAACTAGAGGGAATGAATCCTCTGTCATTCTGACAGGATTAGAAGGAAATACTTTATATCACTTCACAGTGAGGGCTTATAATGGAGCTGGATATGGGCCACCTAGCAGTGAAGTGAGTGCAACCACCAAGAAATCCCGTAAGTGACCTGGTTTTTGTTTGTTTCAGACAAAAGGGAAACATCTTTTAACATTTCTGAAAGCCCTGTGAGGTACAAAATAAGGAGAGTTGAAGGGGAGTTTTGATTCATAGTCTTGCTTGAATGCTTAGATCTGAATTCCAAAACTAGCTCAGAAAATTTTGCATTCACAGTAGATAAAGGTTATCTTCCTGTGAAATAAGGCCAAGTGATTTTGACACAGGAAGGAAGATAAAAGGATTCTGGTTCAAAAGCTCGGTAGAGTAGCTATTAAAATGACACTCTGGAGCAAAAACCCTCCTTATCTGACTCCAGCTGGAAAGAAGCCTATGGTGCCAGCCAACTACTACACACAAGAAAAGATTGAAATACAAAGATTTAAGTGAAGAAATGTATTTAAGACTCCTTGTCTGTTCACTTTCACTTTTTATTTTGCAGCCCCTAGTCAAGCACCCAGCAATCTCAGGTGGGAACAGCAAGGCTCTCAGCTTTCTCTGGGCTGGGAACCAGTCAGACCATTAGCCAATGAATCTGAAGTCATGGGCTACAAGGTCAGTATGTTTCTTCACTCTCTTGTATAGACACTCATCTTAGAAATTGTTATTATGAGGATGTACAATTATAAGGCATAAAAGGCCATTAGCATACCTGTTTTTCCCAATCATTTTCTACCTATAACTTAGAAGAAAGCCTCCCACAATAGGTAAGCCAAGGCAGTCAAAATCAGTTTTAACTGCTCAAGGCATAGGAGGGAATGAGTAGGAAAAGCAGCAACAATTTGAATACAGGATGAAGATGGCTCCGTAAAGCAGTGTCAGGACCAGCAGAACTTAAGGAGAGAGTCCTAGCATTTTCTCCCTGAAGACAAATTTTCCTGGCAGATGACAAAGACTGGATAATTTAACTTGGGTGGAAAGACTATTAGCAAAAAAAGAAGAAGAAATGATAAGGCCAGCACACTGGGTTAAGAAAGAGTCCATGGAGAGATAGCAAGCTCCAAAATAGACATAGCATTTCACATACAGTCATCCTGAAATGTGCCAGCAAGAGAGCTGGAAATATGAAAACATTGGTTTGTTTTTGAAAAACAACTTTGTCTCTAATTTTAAAATATATGTGGTCTATGTATTGATTTGGTTGAATTTCAAATTCTTTTTTCATCAGATTCCCTTATTGTCTTAAACTCCATACAGAACCATACACTGAATATTATTTATATCAGAAATTTTAAGCATTTTAATAATATTTAGACTGAAAATCATCATCTATGTGGCTTTTCAATTATCAGAAATGGTAACACAGTATTTTGTATATAAAGTGCTAAAATTCTGAAGGTAAAAACTTAAGAAGTTATAAATGAAATATATTTTTAAGGTAAGTAATTCCCATTAATCATATTTTAAGACACATACTATTTCTTACAGACTATAATTAGTATGGGTGGCAGACACCCTCATTACTCAAACATACATACTGAAATCTGTTCTAATCCTCAGAGATGTTGAATTTGATCTTTTTGGGGTGGGCAGGTGAGCCATTTTTTATACCCCTCCCTTTGCCTTCTTCTTCTATGCCCTTACCCAAATAACCATGTCCTTACAACTTTTCCTCTAAGGCAAATATACCTTCAATAATTAGATGTAGCAGTATGGCCATAAATGGTGAATATACCTTCTAAGAACCAATCTAGTATCATTAGAACTATGGCAACCAAACTCCCAAACTAGAGAGGCAAAGTAGAAAACAAGTTAGAGCTACATGAAAGCATATTGCCATCTAAAAGAAACAGTCAGCGTAAGGCACCTCTCAGGTAATAAGACCTGAAGAATATGTGAGGTTGGGCATAGGGTTCCCAAACACGGTAATCCTTCTTTTTGCTCACCCCATCTATCTCTGTCACTGTTCTTCCTCTTTATATGTGGTTGTTTCCCCAACCAGACTATATGTGATTGACGGCAGAAACTCTTTCTCATCACTTTATCCCCAATGTTTCTAGAATGGATGAATAAATTAATTAATTTAATCCAGCTAGAAGTATATTTATGCAATTACTCATAAGTGTATATTATCAGATGTGTGTTTTTCCAGCATGGTCTTCCCATTTGTTAAGTGTAGTGGGAAAAGAACACTGGCTTCTGAGTCAGACTTTCATTCAAATCCTAGTTGTGTAACTGAGCAAGTTGCTTAATCTCTCTGAATCTCATTTTCTTAACTTCAAAATGGCAAAAATAACAATAAAATAATATCTATCATACAGGATTGTTTTATGGATTAAATAAGATAATTTATGTAAAATAGCTTATAGCTATTAGCATATAGAAGGTGCTCATTTAAACATAGCTACTATTTATTCTAATTGTTTTGAGAAGAGAATATCTAGTTAGGTGAAATTTTAACAAAAGAAACTGATCTTTGTTTGAAAGTTGCCTGCCAGTTCTGTCTAAATGAAGACAGCAGAAGTTACCTTGGAATACCTTCTTGCTAGGGGAAGAATCACTAGCATGTTCCATCTTAGTTGTATAAGTTAATGACAAGTAGGTACACATTGATAGATGATTTTTTTTTCTTTTACTTCCTTAAAATGGTTATACTTCCTTATGTCCTTGAGAAGAAAGAGCTCGTTCTTAAGAAAGGAGTCTGCGGATAACAAATGGAGTGAGACCTCAGAGCTTGTTCTTTTGCGACTAATCTTATTAGAACTTCTGATGGACGGGATAATCCCCAATGAGAGACCCATGAGGGTAAAAGGACTAGGCTAATGACTGCGGCTTAACACAGAGCCTGGATTCTCCTGGGAAAGTCTGTTTTTCACAGATCAGGTAGCTAAGGATGAAAACACCTCCTGACACAGGCACAAGGGGCCAGGAATGTGATTAGAAACAATAGCTGCAAATTTAAACTACAGGCTTGTAACCCAGAGAACACAAGCTTGTAGCCCCCTTTTTGAGCATGACTTTGTGGAAAACTCCTCCAGCCTAGACAAGGATCTGCACTGCAGCTAAAGAGCTGTACCATTTGGATGGAGGTTCACCCAAGTATGGAGTGGCCAAGGCTGAGCATGAAACTCAGAGGAAAAAAACCTCTTTGAGTTCTACTATATCCCCCCAAATTATTGCCAGACCAAGAGTGCCCTAACCACTGGGCCAAGAATACCAGTATAACAGTGGGCCACCTCTTAAGCACAATAGCATATGGCAGTCACAAAAGATTAACAAAAGTAGGTACAAGTCAGCACACTATTTCTCTATCCGTGAGGCAATTTGAGGTAGAGGACTTCCTGCTTAATAGGGTAAGAGAAAGGTTCCACAATTAATTGTAATATCAAAAAGAGAAGTAACTTTGTTTTTACTCTTTGTCTTTGCCAAGTTACTTTACTTTTATAAGCAAAAGAGATCACTAGAAATGTACATGGTATGTAAGTTTGAGAATAGGAAACTTGGAGTCAATGCCTGAGGTTTAAAATGCAAAGACTGTGTTTTTCACCTTTTATATTAAGTCCAAAGTAGATGAACTCAGAAAAGTCTTCATCTAGAAGTTTTCCAGATTGTAAAAATGATTGAAAAGTGATAAATATGGAGAAAAACAGATTTGTTCTCCAGACTTGGTCCATAAATAATACACTCAACTCTTTTCTTATAGTCAGGATACTAAATACAGGATTGAACTCATTCTTTAAAAATAACAAAAAGAGTAAGATAAAATAGTGGAATTTGACATTCAACCAATCCATTTTCTAAGAAGCATGGATCTTAATTCCTTACATAATTTCAGAGATTGAAGTGTCAACATATATAAGGACAAAATGTTAACAGAGAAAGATATGATGAGAAATTTTGTACAAGGTGTTCAGAAGATGAAGGAGGTCTCCTCATCATAAATCTTATCAGGGACCTCAAAAATGACCAAGAATATAGTGGAAGAAGGATGGAATCAAGCCATAAATGGTTGTATCAGAGGAGACATATTAAAATTAAATCCATTCAGTTAAATTTTAAGTATTACCTAGTTGTGAAATTTCTTACTGCTTTTTGAGATCATCCAAGAGATCCTGAACTTCTTGGGATTTTGTTTAACAAGTCCAGGTTTAATAGCAATAATTTCAAGACATCACAGCTTTCATTAAAAAGTAAGAGAATTAGAAGCTTGAAGAACCAGAAGAATGTTGGGAAAAGATTGTCTCTTGAAGATACGGCTACAAATTATTCTCACTCAAATAAAATAACTCCCCATTTGAAAAGTTAAGTCAAATTTGGGAGTTTACTTAGTATATTTATAACTCCTTCAAGTCCATTATTATCCCTTTCTCTTGTTTTGTTACATTTCCCAAATCAGAAAAAGCTACCTATATTATTAATATATTATTTATAAGTGATGGGGAAAATGGAGCAAAAACTTCAAATAAGTTTTTTTCTAATTTAATATATTTTTCCCAAATAAATGCTTTTCAATGAAGAAAATTTCATTTTTTAATTCCTCTAGTGTGGAGTCTGTATCTAGAGTCTTTAATTTTGGCACATCTGTTACTGGCATTCCTAAAGAAATACCAATGCCAATAACAAAGCTGTATACTAAAGCATATTCAGCCATAATTCTCCTTAATAATCTTGAGAATGAAGAAATTTTTTCTTTATATTATGAAAGGAGTTTACCAAGATTATAAAGTGAAACAACCATCTTATCTCCACCTTATTCTTCTCATGTAGATTTAAGCCCAAGTAAAAGGGAAAATAAATATTAAATGCCCAGGAGCTATACTTTCACTTGTGCAAATATTCCCTTTCCCACTGAGTGAAACTTTTATCCATTCAGGAAAAAAAAAAAAAAAAGAAAACAAGCAGAAGGAATTCAGGACAATGCCTCAGGCTACATACCAAAAAAAATAAGGTCTTGTTTTCTAGGCTACAACTAAAAAGTATCCTTTCCTAGATATACAACCCTTTCTCCATATATCTTTCCCCCTTACCTCTACTTTCTGTCTGTTTACAGAGCCAGGGAGAGTAGGGGGAAAATCAGGCTCAAAGTTTACTGGCTATTATGTGTTCCATCAATGTAGACAGAAATTTTTGTTTATTTATTCAACTTAGATATCAGGGCCTTCCACACTCCTGAGATATATGTACGTTTGGGTTCATATTTTATTCCACACCCTACAGAATTCTGAAGACCACCTCTATATTTGTCCAGCTTCTCGAGGGAGCTTAATGTCTTTGGCCCTTCTAGTCTCATTGATTTCCTGTATCTTGCAGCTGTTCCTTCATCTTATATTCACTCCATGTATGGGATTCAGCCTCTTTCTTGTGATACCCACAAATTAAAATGACTCATATATAATGAGTTATACTATCCTCTTACATGTGATTTTCCTTGAAATTTTTTATGATAAAATATTTTTAAAAAATAAAACAAAAATGGCTTATATAATATCAAATATATACACGTAGAAAGTAGACTTGATAGAAATGTTGGCGGGAGCAGGTAGAATGAAAAGCACACCATACAAGCAAATATCTGAAAATTGCCCATAGAAAGTCCTGTTCTTAAAAGTGCTTTTGGCCATCCTCCAGTCAGTGGCTTCTCACTGGTTCTTATGCTTCCCCAACTTCTTTTCATCTTGCTTCTATCATCTTGCTGACTTCTCACCCTCCTATTGTTAGTGGGGCTTCAGATTCCTCACTTTCCATTATGAAGAGCAGATGTCCCTGTTGACTATTCCTAAGATCCCAAGATGCTCAGCTGCTGAATAGGCCTTCCCTTTAATAGAATCCATCCTTCTCAGGGGTACTCATGGGTAAAACCAGCAAAAATTTATTGTTATATATTTAAGCCTGCTCACACCATTATTGTGTTACCATCAATATAGACTAGCTGTTTCCAGATCATGCCTTTCAGAATTGCAGTACCACATTAATTTTTTGTTTAGAATCACTTATTTGGATAATTCATTCTTCCCAGCTTGTTAAGTAGAATTTGAGGATAGTATTGAAAATACAATTTCCTTTATGCCTAAAGATAGCTGTCATCACAACCACCATTTTGTAAATGTCCAGATTCTCACAGTACACTCTGGACTCCTTATTATCAATAACTATTTCTGACATGTCTTGATAACTCCTTAACCTTCTCATATTTCTCATTCTCATCCATCTTTACTAAATCAGGATTTTAAAATGAGCCAAGATTCTCTCAAGCACCTAAGACTAACCATTAATTTAATGTATCTTTTCACTTAGTATACCTACTTACTGACTCATAACATCATATCTCCCTGGATGTACTGGTAAAAGCCACATTTAATCTCAAATTCCTTTTGCTACTATTAACTGGTATTTTTCCTGCTTTTACCTTTTGTTTCTAAATCTCAACTGATCCACAAATTTTTCTTCAACTCTGGATTTTACAGCAACATTAGATACGCATTACTAGTTGCATTTTTCTTTGTCATAAGAATTGTAATTTATTGAACCATAATAACAATGTTCTCTAAAATAGTCACTCCCCTACCAATCCTCACCAATTTACATACTTCCCCATTGCCATAAATTTGCTTTCTAATTACCTCAAGTGGATGATCAGAATTCTAATTCATTACACTGCTACAGTCAAAATAAGAAACATAAATTCTGATACAATTGTCATTTTTTAAGCTGAAAGAACCTGCTGTGGGCATGCTCTGAGAAGTGTTTCTGATTCCCCAAATCTTGATCAAGTACTACTCTGTGCATTGCTATATCACCAAATACATTTCCTATTACACTTCCCTGCATTGGTATCTGCCCCCATTATTATATTGTAGGTGCCTTGAGAACAGGAACATGTGGTCTTCTTCTGTTATGAATCTCCAATGTATAGCACTGTGCCTGGCCCACATGATATGCCCAGTAAATATTTGATGATACTCTTATCACTTTGCAACTACATTGAGGCTATGGCTTCTCTATAAGTATTTCAATACATACAATTACTGTACATGCTAAATACTTTTAGAGAGAAGTTACTTCTCTTCTGAGACCCTGAAGTAAATTTAAATCTGTGAAAGAAAAGTGAAAGGGAGGGACCATTTATCAGAATGCAAAAGGGAGGATCAAGTACAGACAGGCTTCAATATATGACAAGAATGCTCTACTAAAGTTTTTTTTTTCCCCCCTCTCTGTAGGTTAGTTCAAGCTCAAAACACATTTTTATAAGAAAAAAACAGGGCGCCTGGGTGGCTCAGTCGTTAAGCGTCTGCCTTCGGCCCAGGTCATGATCCCAGGGTTCTGGGATCGAGTCCCACATCGGGCTACTTGCTCGGCAGGAAGACTGCTTCTCCCTCTCCCACTCCCCCTGCTTGTGTTCCTGCTCTCGCTATCTCTCTCTCTGTCAAATAAATAAATAAATAATTTTTTAAAAAAAAAGAAAAAAACATAAATTTTTATCTAACTTCCTAAGGTATCTTTTATGATGCAATTGAAATACTGACCATTGACCATGAACAATGATGGCAACAGAAGTAGATTTCTCTTAAGTTTACCATGCACCAGGTCCTATAATGGAACCAAATTTGCCCAGAAAGAAATATGGAGATTGTGTTTTCTTTTATTTTGTTTGTAGGAGATTGTTTTGAATCCAGATCTGTAAATAGAAACAAAATAATATAGTTCTGAAGCAGCTCTTAACTGATCATCAGAATTTTAACCTTCTAATGCAATTTCTTCCCTAACTAGCCACATGATCTTGTATAAATTGCATAATTCCTATGATCTGTGCTTTCTGATTTGTAAACATAGGATAATTCTATGTCCTTTTTAAAAAGATTTTTATTTATTTACTTGAGAGAGCAAGTGAGCAAGAGAGCAAGAGAGAGAGAGAACAAGCAGGGGAGTGGCAGGCTGAGGGAGAAGCAGGCTCCCTGCTGAGCGAGGAGCCTGATAGGGGACTCAATCCTGGGATCATGACCTGAGCCAAAGGCAGATGCTTAACCAACTGAACCACCCAGGCACCCCAGGATAACTTTATGTTCTAATTTGTAATTCTGAAACCATTTGCCATGAATACATGTTCTATTCTAGTACAATGGACAGGTGTCAAAAAAACTTTACTATCCAAAATATCTAAATGCCAGTTCACAGAAAAGCAAACAACCACAGAAGTAAATAGAAACACTAAAGTTTTAACTTTTCAGTGATTTCCTACATTGTTAAATATTTATTGTTGATATATTTAACGAACTATCTCTTTAGTCCTTTGAATTTGAAGATGACAGCTGTGAGTACTCCCTCAGGATACTATTCATTCCAATAACCTAGAATAAAAGACTTTAGTGATATGGCCCCTCACTACCTTCTGCTCTAGTCTCATGTGTCCCCATCCCCGTATGTCTTCTGTCTATTCCATACCCTAATGTTATGGTTTCTCATTGCTTAGGTGTATTTTTGTTTTTCTTACCTTTTCCTAGAATTCTCATCCTTTTCTCCATCTGGTGAACTCCACTCATCTTCAGATACTTAACTCCGGCATCTCCTCTTCTGAAAAGCCTTTCCTAACCCACAGACAGAATTAAACTCTTTCTCCTATATTTCCATAGCATCTTTTTTTTCTTTTTTTTTTTTATTAACATATAATGTATTATTAGTTTCAGGGGTCCGGGTCTGTGATTCATCAGTTTTACACAATTCACAGTGCTCACCACAGCACATACTCTCCCTATATTTCCATAGCATCCTATGTACACTTCCACTGCTCCATATAGCACATACATTGCATTTGCTTACATATCTGTCAAAGCCATAGGCTTCCTTAGCTCAAAATGTGACATACGGTAGTCAATCAATAAAGATTTGGAATCTTCATGTGAATATGAAATGTTTAAATCTCTGTTATTATTTCCAGGTTTTTTATAGGCAAGAGGGGCGCAGCAACAGTCAAGTTATCGAAACACAGAAACCTCAAGCAGTAGTACCACTGCCGGATGCTGGAGTCTATATTATTGAAGTTCGAGCATACAGTGAAGGAGGGGATGGGACAGCTAGTTCCCAAATCAGGGTACCATCCTATTCAGGTAAGTTTTGACATAATAGGCTTAATTTGATGACTACCAACAATGTTAAATAGTGTAAACCTCACCAAAATTAATATGATGGATTGCATGGATGAAAACTTTGGAAGGGTCTCATTTCTCACTCTGATTTCCATACCATCCTCCAATTAATAAGAATGTGGCCCTTATGTCCATAATTGCAGAATTTCTATAAATCTAAAAAGGATTTTTCATCAGAATGTTTCATTAGAATGTGCTTATTTTGGGGAAATTCCCTTGCCCATCCTGGTCTCAAGCAGCACCTTGCTGGCCATTTGGGCTTTGTAATATTGCTTTTAAACTGCCAGTGCACAACTTTAACATACCTATTTCTCTATTACCTTGATTACCTTTATCATTAAAAAATGGAGAATGGGGTACAGAAGAGCTTAAAGGAACTGCTTCTTAAAATTAAATTTGGATCATCTTTATTGATTTCAGAGTAAATTGTAAATTCTATTGAGTATCATTTTTTGTTTGTTTTCCAGGTTTATTGAGATATAAATGACATGTAACCTTTTGTAGGTTTAAGGTATACAACTTGTTGATTTGATACACTTATATACTGCAAAATTATTACCACCATAGCATTAGCTAACACCTTCATCATGTCACATAACTGCCATTTCTTTTTGTAGTAAGAACATTTAAAATTTACTCCCTTAGCAACTTTCAAGTGTGTACTACAGTATTATTAACTATAATCACGATGCTGTACATTAGATCACTGGAACTTATTTTGCCTCATAGTTTTTATTAGCAGTATTAATAATTTCTAGCTTTTACTGAGCCCTTACTATGTGTTAGGATTGGTCATAAGTCTTATACATCATCTTATTTGGTCTTAGTAATAATTATATGAAGTAGATGACATTATTCATATTTTAAGGAGAAAATTTAAGTAACTTGCCTAAGAATGTGCATTTAATTAATGGGCAATTATGAGCTTATTTATTGAGTAATCATTCTCAAGCAGAATTGTCAGCCTAAAGGGAAGTATCCAGTGATATCCTGTAGGACTCTGCATGTGGCTTTGTTGCATTCAACATATTTATCAATTTGGATTAAGACCAGAAGCATTGCATATGATATTTTTTGATGCCACAAAGTGGGATAGAAGGCAAATATAAGGAAGAAAATAATTAGACTGAAGCTTTGAGGAAAAGCTATTTACATAATATTTGACAAGTAAATTCTTACATAAAAATATAAGGTGAGATAAAGGATATAATTAGGAGAGTTGATAAAATTTGAATAATGTCTGTAGATTAGATAACATATATATCAATAATTTCCTTTTCTTAAAAAATTGTACTGTGGCTATATAAGAAAATGTCTTATTTTTAAGAACTCTAAAGTATTTAGAGGTAAATGTACATCATGTCTGCAACTTACTTTCAAGTGACTCAGGAAAAATATATGTATTTATAGAAAGAATAATAACACAACAATGATGAAACAAACATTTAAGAAATCTGGATGAATTCTTTGTCTATTTTTACAACTTCTTGGTGCATCTAAAATTATTTCTAAATGAAAAGCTAAAAATAAAAAACATAAAATATAGGAAATCTGACATTTTTCAGAAATTCAGGTGAAAAGACCTAAGAATTTAAATACATTGTGGCCACACTAAAACTTAATACACTTTATGATTCATTTATAAAAGTATAGCTTCAAGAGCAAGAGAGGTAATAATGTCTCTACATTGATTACTATAATTGAACTGTTCAGATGCGGGTGTTAAATTTTCAAGAGCACCTTGAAAGACTAAAGATTATTTCTGAAAAGCGAAAAAGATGGCAACTCTCTGCTTGCATCATAAGTCTCAAATTTCTAAAAACAATGCTACAATGAGCATTTATTGACCCATGATCATGTTCTTAGCATTACACTAGGTATTTTTCATATATTTTTTATTTTATTTATTTATTTATTTATTTATTATTCTATTTTTTTATTTCTTATTTTATCCTTCTAGCAAACTTCTAAGTATTCTATTATTCTCTGACTCCTCAAGGTTCCTGTCAAGTCTAAGACAACCAGATTATAAAATATCATCTGGACAATATTAGTCCCAAGTTTGAAAGTATTTATAAAAACATTGATTCTCCCACTGTGTCTCAACTTCTATTCTATGAAAAACAAATTGTCAACTTTTATGTTTTAGTTAAAAAATAATGGTTAGTGCAATACATTTTCTGAGTTTTAATAAAATAAAAACTCTTAATATTGTCTATCTCAGACCTATAGAAAATGAACAACAATTGGTTTCATTCTTATCATTTTCCAAAAACCAAAAGCCCTAAGAAGTTCAAGGACTCGCTCAAGTGAAATAGCTAGTGGTTTTGCAGCTGGGACTAGAACTTAGTCCAGTGTTGTTGTTTGTGTTTTGTTTTGATTTGCTATACCAAAACAATGTTTTTGTTTTGTGGATTCTTTGTGAAATTTGAGATATAATCCCTACTTAGCATTCTGAAAATGAGATGTTTTTGTAAAAGTGTCATGCTAGTCGATTTAAAGGACTCAAGTAAATAGTAAGGATGTAAATAGAAAAGATGTTTTCACAGTTTTTATTTATTAAGAATGCACATACCACTGCAGTGAAGCTTTGTCATCATGCCTTTCTTATAGTTCACATGCGGCCATGCACTTCACAATAATTCCTTTTGTACAAGGTGAACTACAAGCTACATTCTCCAATATGTTGGTTAAAGTTCTATTAGTGCCTTAGATATAAAAATTTTCAAAGGAAAGATTTGCTGCTGCTGCTGCTGCTATGTGTGTGGTGTGTGTGTTACCAAACAAATGGCCCCCCAGCTCTTAAATAAACATCTGGAGAAAAAATTTGGACACTATTTCCATAACAAAAATCACAACCAGATCCCATTAACACTCAACTCTTGACGGAGAAGATAACTTGACCGAAGGATGATTCCAAAAATTGGGTGGTACCTTTATTTTATGATTAATCTATCATTAAGGTTTTAATTAAGGCCAATCGTAAGAGCATCTGTCTCCACTAATTCCATCTCGATGACTTTAAGCAAGTCCTATTATCTAAGCTCCAGTTCCTTCATCCGCAACAGGGGGAAAAAACGTTACTTACTGTTGTGAGGATTGAATAATATGTATAAAGTGCTCAGTACAGTGCATTGCATTTAGTAAGCATTCATTAAATATCGATCATGATATCATACTTCAAACTTGAGGAACCATTAACTGGAGTTAGGTCTAAGGGTAGTACTTAGTTTGTGTGGAGCTTGTTATGTGGAGCTATCAAAACTACTTCAAACTAGTCTGTTCAGATCAGTGTGTTTAATCAAACAGCCACCTTAATACATTAACTGCATACAATATTTTGTTCCCAAGAAGGAATAATTTCTCCTGGGTATAGGTAAGAGTAATGAAAGATGGCTCTCCTTCCTTTGCCAAGTTTGGTATGAGAATCTAGAATTTAAGCCTGCTCAACAGAAACAAATCAATGGAGAACCCATAAGTAAATTAAGTAATTTAAATAATTGTATTATTATCAAATTCAAACATTGACTGAAGTAATTGAATTATGAATTCTTATTGCCACAAACTTTTGCTAATTATTCTTGCTCCCCCTTTCCTGAACAATACACTATAGAAATCATTTTATCATTCATACCTGGAATTTGAGATGTTTTCTATCATTGGTGAAAATTACACTAAATCTCCTGAGTAGATGTGTTTTTTTTAAATGTGACATAGCCTTTTAACACAGTATTCCATATAGAATTCTGCCTTCCATATAATTTCTGGGAGCCCCATACAATGTCTTGTTTTATAAGTACACTCTCATCAGAAACAAGCCCATGTTGCACTCCTTTGTCTTACATACCTAAAAACAACTCTTTCTATGCTCAAGCAAAATCAAAATAATTAGCTCCATTTAATGCTTCTCTATTTTCACAGGTGGGAAAATCACTAGTGCCCAGTCGACCCTCCACACACTCTCCCCATCTTCATCATCGGTAACATTGCTCTTGGCATTGATGATTCCTTCAACCTCTTGGTGAAAACTGCAGACTTACCTTGCTTTGCTTTGCTTTAGCTTGAAAATAGCGGTGAATAGAATGTAGTGTAAGTGGAGACCCAGGACCCTGAGATGAGCTTTAAAAATTTGGGACTACACATGGTGCACTTACAGGAGGCTGGGGGGAATATTACTTATCCATCAGGTTTCTCTTTGGTTTTGTAAATGGAGAGGACAGTTCTTGTTCCAATAAAATATGCAGATTGTATGTAATGAATTTTTTGTAAGCAAAGGTAATTTCTGTCAAATGTATTCTTTACTTTTTTAATATGTTGGAATTTGATTTTATATATGATGACCCTGAGTGTGTGCCATCCATTTGTTAAGTAAGTGGTCTCTAGCAGATCATTTCAAACACAAATACAAAACTGAGAATGAAAAGTTTGCTAAAGATTCTGAGTCTACTGTTTTTCATTTTCCCTTTGGCTAAGTATCCGAATTAACAGGCTGGTAGAAGATATGAAAAAAAATACTTCAGTTGTGTGATCCATTATAGAATAAGTACACAAAAGTTTTTTTTGAAAAATATTGTGTTATTGCATAGTGAAATAGCAAAATTTGTCTATATGCTATTCTATATGTATCCCTAGAGCAAGTTATTAGGGTAGGGAATAAGCCATTCACATTAGTGCAAGGTAAATAGAGAGTCCAGATGAATTTAAGTGCTATTGTTTTTCATTAATTACTATGTTATCTAGCTGCAAATATAATAAATGTTTATTTTTAATAACAAAAGATTAAAGTCACAAAAAAAATATGGTCACTAAAAACTGCAGTCACTGATATGCTGCGAAGGGTGCTAACTTGAAAACAAAATGAATACAGGACAGAGCTTTCCCATTTTCCCACCTACTGCCAAAATAGATGTTGAATTAAGTTCATGGTTTTCTCCTAATTGGCAACAATTTTAAGGACAATTAAAATCTATTGTGCAAATAATTATGCATACATATATAGTCTGTGAATTAAAATGTTTCAAGCATAACAAATGAATTTTGATTTTTTAAACACGTCCATGCATCACATACCACTTGTAAAATGTTACCAACTATTAAAATAAAAAGGACCTCTTGAATAAATTGATTTTTTAATTAAGTTATGGAAACATGGCCTCAGTACAGGGCCTCAGCTAGTCTAACTAGCCATACACTCCTTGGGAAATGTTCCCCATTTGCTATTTTGGAGAGTCACCATGAACCAAAGTGACTCGAGACAGTTGGATACTGGAGTGAAAGTTTTCTGCTTGATGATATATAGAAGTTCCACCTGCCACAGTTCACATAACACCCAAGAAGGATGCCTGAAGGGATAGTTATTGCAAAGCCAAATGCCAGAAAAGAGCTTGGAGAAACTAGTTTTACAGATGATATTAATATGGAAACAAAAAGTAGTTTCTTTTCTTTTCTAAAACCTAAGCCTGTTAATTCTGTTTGGAGCATCCTTAACAGCAAGCAAAATGAAACAATATTTAGCTCACACTGTTGGCTCTAGAGGTTAATCCCTATAGAATCAGGACATATTGGAATTTCTGTTCTGAATATCTAAAAGATTGGTTTCAGGGCCACAGCACAACAATTTAAGTTGGTTACTCGTTCTGTTTGGGAGGAATTATGTCCAAGACACCCCTAAACAAATGAGAAGTGATTTAAAAGACTATTTTTAGTTAACAGATTATTATGGTAAATTACGACAGATGGTGAATATTGAAGCCTGTGAATAATAACAACCAAGTGGCCTTCTTTGAGCACCTCCTTTGGAGTGGGAGAGGCTGGACTTTGCAGATAGAGGGATACGAACGATTTAGCAGGCAAAATACGAACTCTCATGAGTGTGGTGTAGTTTTCAGAAAGAAATTGTGCATCTGAAAAAAAAAAAAAGATGCAACAAGAATATTAAAGAATAGACAATAATTTTTACTTCATATTATAAATCATTTTCTTTGTTTTCCATGATGTTTTATACTAGATGTAGTGAAGGACTTTAAGAATCAAGTTATTATTGAATCTCTTACAAAACAAAGCCCAATAAATATGTCAATATATGGCTAATTCGAATAAACCAAGATTCCCCACTAGTTGATGGATGGTACACATCTGGTAGAATGTCTGATGTCTTCTTAACAGGAATCAGAGATAAGCGATGTTTTTACTCAGCCTGCACAGAATATGTATTTTGCATCATAAACCTATAAAAAAGGTTTTAAATGTTTACGTACTTATGTATTACATACTTGTTACTTTGTAAAAAACAGAACAGCATTCCTTATCAAGGTACATTCTTTTTCAGCTGCAGTACTGAGTGAGCTTTTTTTTGGATGGGATAGTAACCACACAGTCTTAAATCACTAAAGAGACTGTATTTTTGTATAATGTCAATTGAACTATGAAGGAAAAAACACTCCTCATAATTAAAAATTTCATGAAAAGTGAATGTTTTGCATATCCAAATAAAGGTACTGTGGACTTCATGTCAAACCGTTAAATATATTGTATACAATCTGTATATATACTATATATAATGGTATATATCATGTGGAAGGCACAGTCAAATAATAGTTCTGTGTACTGTTCTTGTAACACTAGATCTTTTTAATAAATAATTCTCTTTTTATTGACTTTTATCTTCTCTCCTGTCAGCTACATGAATGACTTTATTTCATGCAGACTACAGTATGATCATGATTATGGTGGTGTTTTCATGCTGAAAATATCACAATGTTAGTACTTTGCATGCTGTTATGATTTTAGGTGCAAAAATCTCCATAGATGTCCATGTTAATTTCAATTCAAAAACTGGAAGCCAAGTCAAAGAATAAACCAAACAAAGAAGAAAAAACAAATGGGATAAATTTAGGGTTAGACTCATGATTTATTTCTTCTCAGGAAAGGAGACCATCAATGAGTTTTATAAAGAGTTTGTTAAATGCATAATTATGCTTTTATTAGAAACAGTCTGTCCCAGTCTATCCTAGGTATAATTCTCATAGAGTTATTCACTCTTTGTGCTCCCTTAGCACCGTGTATAAATTTCTGTTATACCAGCAATCACATGATTTTACAATGATTTGCTTATGAATGTTTCCCCTCTACTCTCTAAGCTATGGATCCTCCAAGGGAGACTATATTATATTCATCTTAGGATTTCTCTCATTGGTACATATCACAATACCTAGGACATATCAAGTGAGCAATTAATTGGATTTAATTTCACGTTGGCCCTAAAATTTTCCTGTAAAACAGGTTTCCTACACCTAGGTGATGATCTAAATCACCTGGGAACCCAAATCTCAGAGTTCTGATTCAGTAGGTCAGAACTAGGGAATCTTATTTTCAAAATGTCCTCAAACAAAAAATGATACAACCTTACTGAAGGGAATTTGGCAATAACTAGTAAAATTTTGCATGGATTTACCCTTTGACCGAGCAATCACATGTCTAGGTATCTATCCCTAAGATAGACTAGCAAAAATATATAATATTAAAGGAATAAACAAGGTGCAAAACAATGAATATATGATTCCTTTGCTATAAGAAGTGGAAAAATGCATTTATTTGCTAATGCTCTCTAAAAGAAATAATGGAAGAATAAACTAAGGACTAATAAAAATTGTTGCCTATTATAAGGAGGGAGGGAATGGGATATAGGAACAAATAGGCAACCAAGCTCTTTCTCTATGTACTTATTTCCTAGTTTTGACTTTGGAACTACATAAATGTTTTACATTAATTTAAAAATTAAATTAAAAGGTAAAAACAAAGCAACCTCAAAAAACAAGAATAAATAGAATATACTGAAACTAACTATATGTTGACCAAATGTTTGATAAGTTAAAGTTTCTCTTTATAGAAGAATTACAACCACATAGATAAGTATTTCAAGTCAGTATTTTGACAGTACATTCCTAATGAGACATACATAGCAAGGATAACACACATACACACACACACACACACACCCCAAAAAGAAATCTTGAACTACATTCATCTTGTGAATAACATAACTAGTATAATTGTGTTTTAATTAGCCAATATATGAATATAAATCTTAAAGTATTAGAAGAGTGAATTTTCAAGATACATCTGTAAAATTAATTTAAATAAAACCTGTAAACTTTGATTTAGAAATATCAGTATGAATTCATAGTTCATTTAACCTTTTTCTTATAAATAACCTATTCTTAGCTTTGTTCTACAAAAGTCTAGAAGAGCAATGAACACCCTTAATGGAAAAATAATACAAATAAATAAATAGCACACAAAACGTGGTCTCCAAATTCCACTTATCATTAAAAGGAAATTTCTTGGAGAAATGGCTAATTTAAGGTCTCAGGTAGGAAACGTATGAGATGAACCTGGGACTTCTTACTGTATTTATAAAGACTATCATTTAAGTGGAGACTTAAACATCTCCCACTAGCAAAGATGGAATACCTTGAGCTCAAAAAGAACAATGACATCAATGGATAGAAACACATGTAATATCTACAAATCTATTATTTCATACTAATATACACACAAATCACTGGTTATCTTTGCTAAATGCAAAATTCATTATTCTGAGAATTGTTATAAAAATTTAAAAAGGGCAAGAATTGAGTATTCTGCCTTTCCTGTAAGAATTGTGTCTCAGGATAATCAAATAGTTGATGAAGAATAGCTCTACTATTAGCTGTGATAAAAGAATCACAGGTAATAAATGCAAGAGGAATGATAGAATTAAAAAATTTTACTCGGGCAATGATTCTTGGTAAATGTTAAAATCATTAGTTAAAATGCTGATGAAGAGCAGCGCAATAGAAATTTCAGACTGCCATCATCTGAACCCACTGATCTTAACATCACTGAAAATAGACACAGAGACATTAATATGATAGAATAGGTGGTAAACAGCACGACCTCTTAAATATTCTTGCTATAAAATTTTTATCATGAACCTGAGTTTATCAAAACTTTAGCCCTGAAAATAATATTACACTGAATGTTAACTAACTGGAATTTAAGTAAAAATTAAAAACAAACAAACAAACAAACAAAAAAAAAACTGTAGGCTTAACCACTGGTTAGGAAATACTGGAGGATAAAAGAACCTAAATAATACTACAGGAAGAAATCATCTAAATCCTGAATGTGGTATATTCTACAGGACAAAAGATTTAGGTCTTCCCAAATAAATGGTATGCAGATTTAAAGTAGGGAAAAGAACTCTTAACACATTAAAATAGCCTGAGAAGGAATATCAGCAGAATGTAATGTGTGGACCCTAATTGAAACAAACCAATTGTAAAAAAACAACTTTGAGACCATGTGGAAAATTTGAATGTTGACTGGATATTAGAATAAGAAGAGGAAACAATAATGGTACTAACAGTTACTTTTTTAAAAAGTCTTTATCAGAGATACATACAGAAATATATACAGGTAAAATTGATATGATATCTGTATTTGCCTTAAAATATTCAATATCTGAATTTGCCTTAAAATATTCAATTAAAATAAAATTTGAGGAGAATATATGAAACAAGAATGGAACAATGGTTACTGTTGAAGTTGAATGATATGTTAGTAGACATTTATTATACTATTGTGAACATTTGTGTAAGTTTAATATTTTCCATAAGAAAAAGTTGAAAAAGTCTGTTTTAGATTCCTTGGCAGAAATAGTCACCTATGAAATACAACTAAACCTTTTAACAGGGACTACAGACATATCTCTGTCTTGATCTTTACCATCTCTTAAGATAACTTTTAATGAAAAAGGGAAACTTGACACCAAATAAGGCCTATTTTAATTTTCTGTGCTTTCAATAAAAAACTTTAGTTCTCAGAAAAACATTATAACATGCCACATTAATGTGTTCTACTTCATTTTCTAGTATTTATGTAGCAGTTAATAATACTGAGTCATCTTTGTAAAATATATATTGTTAGTTATTTATAAATGTGCAAGAATAAATTTTACATTGAATTACATTAAATGGATGCAAATAAAATTCACTAAATACCTGGTGGTTTCCACCACATAAAACTGTAGTTTTAATAAGCAAATTAAGCATGGCTTATGTTGCCATTGCCAACATTATAGAAAGGTAGCAATATCTTCTTGACCTGAATGTTAGACTATAGTAAAAGAAGTTAGCAACCCAAGATTTATCAATATATGATTCAGTTATAGCAGAACACAAATATTTTGAGATGACAAATTTCCTATCGAATAAAGATTTTTTTTTCTAATTTTGAATTAAATTCATGATAGTTATCAGGAAAAATTCTACATCTGGCCAAACATCTGGATCCCCTCATCAGTAATCTTTGTGGCATATTACAAACTAACCTCTAACAAGAACCAACAACTACTTAAGAGAACATCAACACAATATTTTAGAAATATTCCAATGCTATGGGGCACCTGGGTGGCTGAGTCATTAAGCATCTGCCTTCAGCTCAGGTCATGATCCCAGGGTCCTAGGATCGAGCCCCACATCGGGCTCCCTGCTCCGCGGGAAGCCTGCTTCTCCTCTCCCACTCCCCCTGCTTGTGTTCCCTCTCTCACTGTGTCTCTCTGTCAAATAAATAAATAGAATCTTTAAAAAAAAAAAAAAAGAAAGAAAAAAAAAGAAAAGAAATATTCCAATGCTAGACATTACCTAAGTGGCAGAAACTGACTCAACAAGCCTGCTTCTTCCTCTCCCCAGGATTACAACTAAACCACACTTCCCAGCCTCTCTTTAATTTAGGTATGAACAAATAACTGAGTTCCAGCTAATGGAATGTGATGGCAATGGCGTGTGCTTTCCAGCAGTATCCTAACTCATACAGCTGAGGTTTTACTTTCTAAGAGTAATATCTTTTTGCTAAAGGATGATTCTTTTCAGATTGAAGGAATAAATCTCAGTGTTTAAAATTATACTGCAAAATTGACATATTTCTATATCAAATATATCTTATGTACCTCTCCTGATTCTCTTGGCCTCACCTGCCTTCTAGACCCTGGGATGCTTGCTCCACCTCATCTGCCACCCAACTGACTAACTTCCTTCAGGTCCCCTCAATTCCAAGGCATGGGACCAACCAATACCTTCACCCTCTCAAAGCCAGGCCAAGCAGGCATACTTGTAAGGGCGCTGGTGCTTCTCATAACTTTTGTATGCAGATCAAATGTCATAGTTCAGGGCATAGGATCTGGTTTCCCAACTAAGTCTTAAAAATATTGAATGATGCAGAACAGAAGTGCAAAAAGCTAATTCCCAGGGGGTGAACTTTGACTAATGGGAAATAAAAGATAGATGGAACCAAACAGATGAATTTACTCCCCTCTTTTCTTTCCTATAGGTGTCCCCCACAATAATTTCTTCATACAGCCTATCTAGAGACACCCCACATGGCCATGCAGATGTAT